TCTTTTTCCCCCCAGTGAACCCTTTGGGGTTTTATAGCAGAAATCAGTTAAAAAGCCAATGCTCCTGTTTGTGACAGAGTCTGATTGCAGTGCTGGATTTTAAAGACAAATATTTTACTATGGCTGTGACCAAAGAGTTTACTCAAGCCATTCAGTGAGAAACAAGGATATTTTATGGGGGTTTTATTTTTATTTATTTCTTTCTTTATTTGCTTTTACAGATTTAAGATTTTCATGTGAATGTGTTTTGCAGTTCCTCTGGAGATTATGAATGTTTGGGTGATAAATCATGAGAGGGGAAAAAAGAAAAAAGGAAACCTCAAGGAAATGAAGAGATCATCATGCAAAAATGAACTTGGTGTGGGGTGGTGGGAACATCTCCTGGGATTTCACTGTGGGCTGGAATTGTGCTGCATTCCAAGAAAACCAGTGAGGACATCAGGGTTTGTTATGAGACACCAGATGTAAACTGATTAACAAAGTTTGTAAGGTCAACAATGGTTTCAGTTTTTCCTACTCCATATCTCACGGTATAAAACATTTAAGAATGATACCCTGACTTGTTTTTATATTAAACAGGAAGAGCATGTGAGATAACCAAGCACAAGTGACCTTTGCTCTGATCCAATCTAAGCTTCCCAATGGTGCATTTATGGAAAATCCAAGTCCCACACATGAATGCAATGAGATCAGATCTATTATAATCCAACTTTTCAGATGGACAGTGTGTGGGAAACCACACACAACTCTTGGCCATTTAAAAATCAGCTTCCCTGCCTCCTTTAAAATCATTTTGGCTGAGTCAAGAGTGACTGGTAATATTCAGCATGACTTTGTGGAATTTAGATGTATCCAATAAAATAGGAAAAGCTTTTAGGGAGTGCTTGACTGCTGACATCCTTTGCAGCAAAAGCCAAAAACTTATTGAAGAACACAAAATAAATGAACAGGAGTGCTCATTTCTCTAAAGCCAAGTGAAAATACTTAATCACAGTAATCATAGACATTTGTAGACACAGTAAAAAAAACATAATCAATGGCACTCCTTTTATATATTAAATAATGAAACAGGGAACA